TTTCATGTTTTTGTCTCGTCGCTCCGGCTGGGACACGCCATCACAATATGGTGAGGGGCGTAACATTTCCGTCACACGCTTGAGGTATTCGGCCAATCATAACGCACTGGATAGCTGGCTAATCAGAGCACACCTCGCTTTTCAGACCGATTAGTTTTGTAAAAATCGACGCGTTTCAAAAAGGCAGGGGCATAGAGAAGAAACAATAATGTACAGTATGTGGAAAATAATGTGTTTTTATAACTTTAAACCGCATAAACACATTTCATTACACCAAATACACAAAATAATGTTCTTTTTAGCAGCATCATATGACCCCTTTAAAGGAAAGTGTGTATTCAATATAATTAAATATATGATATTATAATATTATGCATTATATTTATATTGTAATTTAAATATTTATGTTATAGGAGCCAGTCTTTAAATACTATGAACTAACATTAATCATTTGATACAGTGCACTTGTGTACATACATGTTTTTACATTTTTATATTTAGATATATTTGTGTTTTTAACTATTTATATATTTTTGAAAAATTTAAATAACTAAAATGTAATTAAATCCGTAATTATACTGTTGACTTTGTAAGATATATGACTTGATAAGCACACGCACGCTCTCTCTCTCTCTCTCTCTCTCTCTCATCTGACATAATAGTAGTATGATTGCTTTCATTTTTCACTGTATCCAAGTGCTGTTCCTATAAAAAGTTCTTATAAATATCATTATAAAACCATTACAAACACAGCAAAATCCATTTATCACACATGAAGGGTACTACAGTGAATACTATATTTTATTTATCAGATGTATTAAATGAAAGTAATGCATGTAAATGTGATCAATATAATTCAATATATAATATTATTTAATTTGTATTTAGGTTATGTATTTATGTATTTAACGCATACATTAAATATGTTTAATTTATGTATTGAATTTAGATTATATTTAGATTATATGTAATATTTTATATATTTAATATATATATAGTTAAGTATATCGAATATTATATAAATAGGTTAAGTACAAATTAAATATATAATTTGTAATTATATCATAAGATTATAATATTTAATTATATTTAATACACTTACATGCATGTAAGAGAGAGAGAGAGAGTGTGTGTGTGTGTGTGTGTGTGTGTGTCTTTTTTTTTCAGTGTATCCAGGCTCTTTCCTTTGAAAATGTCTTTAAATATCTTTATAAAACCATTACAAATAGTCAACCCATTTCTCATACATGAAGTGTACTGCAGGGAACACTGTGTATCTGGACAGTTAACGTGTTGTGGTCCATCTAAACTGCTCTTTTATGTTTTACAGGGTTAAAACAAAGACATCTGGGCTATGAGGAGGTAAGAACATTTGACATGACATTACACAACATATTAGGAGCACAAACAAACATCCCTCCACCCACAGAGAAAGGACAGATGACAGCTGGAGGCGGAAGAGAGAAATACAGCACTACCCCCTAATGGGGGAGAAAAAGAGGGAGAGATAGGAAAGACAAAATAACAAGTTGAGAAAAAATGCAGCACTGCCCTCTACTGGGGGAATGAAAGAGATGCTGTGTTTGGAATGGTATTGACTTGTTCTGCAGTGTATAGTATGTACGCTGTACGAACATATTTTTTATGCACAGAATACCCAGATAACCTACTATATTTGCTCAAATATTCATTATACAACAGAGTCAATAGACCCTGTCCCAACTGTTGCACAATAACAATTTTTATTTTGATGAACATGTGACAACTATGCATATGCAATATACTGCACAGAATTCAGTAAGTAGTAAGCTAGTATTTTCTTAGGGAGAGTGGCAGCACAGCAGCGCACAACATTCTATCCTCCTGTCAGTAATTGGTGTCTTATTCATGGCTGAATTGAGCATGTCCCATCTGGACACAGAGTCCAGATAGCCAAAGACAATAAAGAACAGAGAAAACATCCATCATGCTCTTTCTCTTTACAATTACACTCCAGCAACCCCAGTAGCCCACAAGTAATGACCAGACTCACCAGAGCATGTGAAAACACAAACACACACACATATACAGGGGCCACAAAATCTGTTTAGACATTTAATGTAAGCCACACTTAAATAGCTGATAAAATTTGATCATATCCATCCATCCATCCATCCATCCATCCAGGACATAGTCTCATTTTTTTCAACCTTTTTTTTTTACTTTATTCAAACAAGGATGCATTAGTGTCAATAGTGCCATGTCCTAGATAGATAGATAGATAGATAGATAGATAGATAATAAAAATGCTGTTCATTTAAACTTTTTATTGAACAAAGTTCTGAAATATTCTTTCCACAAATATTAAGCAGCACAACTGTTTTAAACATTTTTCTTTAGCACCAAATCAGCATATTAGAATGATTTCTGAAGGATCATGTGACACTGAAGACTGGAGTAATGATGCTGAAAATTCAGCTTTGCATCACACACTCTAAAAAATGCTGGGTTGTTTCAACTCAGCTTTGGGTCAAATATGGACTAACCCAACTTTTGGGTTAAATTTTTAATTAAAAGATTCTCTCTCACACATACGTTCATTTATTCTCTCTTGTTCTCTTATTCTCTCTCACAATCACTATTCCTCACTGTCCGTCCCATCCTGCTTTTCTCTCCTGCGGTTGAATGGATGCATTTGTTCCCCTTAGCAAAAATAACATGACTGTTTGTGTTTGGCACTCATGGATGGGAGATGGAGTCATAAGACCAGGCCTGCAGACACACACACACACACACACACACACACACTTACCCATGCAAGTCATATGAGTTGTACAGCTTAATCAGAGATAGTGAGAGTGAGTGAGAGAGGAGAAGATTTGAAGATGGAGGATTTCCTGTGGAGAATGCAGGTCTGGGCATCTGTGAGCTGGAGGAGATGTTGTTGGTGTTGTGGAGATAAAACAAATGAAGTCAGAAGGGAAGAAAAAGAGGAAATGTTTGAGTTGAGAGTGGAAGAGATAAAAGAAGCAATGAAAATGGAAGAAAAACCATCAAAAACTTGGAGTGTGTCCTCCCTCCCAGTTGCTGAGGTCAGATGGGTTTGTGTGTGTGTGTGTGTGTGTGTGTGTGAGATAGAGAGAGTGTTTGACATCAAACAGGGCTATATGATTATGTATTTTTGAATTACAATAACATTGAAATTTGTAGCATTATAGAAGAATGTCTCATAAAAATGTCACTAACTTTGTAATGTCATTGAAAAATAGGTCTGGTTTTGGATGTTGTATCATAATGGTCACTGATTTACTGTTATGTTAAAGGGTTAAACTATTTTAGCGTTTCCAACTATTTAAGTGTTCTTGTGTCACTTCCAAGAAAATATTGAGAGTCGAAAGTAATGCATTTGATTGAAGGGAAGCCATTTTAGTTCCAAATGATCTGAAGATATAATTGGCTGGTTACAGTACATTCTGTACAGTGAACCCCGAAGTCCATTCTGAGAGTGTCAGCTGTCCCTGGGTGCGATGAAATCACTCAGATGAATAGAATATAGGCAAGGAGAGAGAAATAGGGAACATTAGAGCTAAAAGAGTTATGCAAAGAGAAAGTCCTGTGTCAGGACATTCTGGCATCACAACTTTATGTGCTGTTGTTATCCTTACAAAAATATAATATGGTAACTATAGTTCCTGCAAAAATGGCGTTACAGTTAAACAAATTAAACTAAATGACATTGATTTTGAAAGGTTTTCACACAGTTTGAAGGCGCTCTTACATTAATTTATGGTTTGATAGTGGAATCAATAACTGTAGACCCTTTCTTTCTTTCTTTCTTGCTTCTTTCTTTTATAGAAAGTACAGCACCACACAAAAGAAATCATATTGTACTCTATATGAATGTGCATCTTTAGTCTGAATTGAATGTTATAAGACTTTTTTTACCATAAAAAAGATAGAAATGTAAGCAGTAAAAGCTGAATTTATTTGATCAAAGACATAGTAAAAACAGTAATATTGTGAAATATTATTACAAATTAAAATAACTGATTTATATTTTAATATATTTTCATTTATTCCAGTGATTGCCTAGGTGAGTTTACAGCAGCCATTACTCCAGTCTTCATTGTCACATGATCCTTAAGAAATTATTATAATATGCTGATTTGGTGATCAAGAAACATTTCTTATTATTATTCAATTTGAAAATCATTTCTGCTGCTTAATATTTTTGTGGAAACTGATACATTTTGTTTTAGGTTTCACTGATGAATAAAAAGCTCAAATAACAGTATTTATTTGAAAGAGAAATCTTCTGTAAAGCTATAAATGTTTTGCTTTTGATCAGTTTAATGCATTATACCAGTTGTATACCTACCTTTAATCAGCATGTAAAGCACTTTAGGATTCAGAGCTTCAGAGCTGGTATAAATAAAAACCCTGAAGCCACATAGGCATGAAAATGAGGACACGGTTCACACTTGTACGCACACAGACAGGTGCGATGGATACGGTAAGATGGCTGTATCAGCGAAACAAGGTGTAATAACATCTCATGCTGTATCTGATATAGATCAAACTAACTCCCCATGTGTTGCTCTCTCTTTGTCTCTGCGTTCAGCTGGGAGAGCTGGACGGGGTGGAGAAACCACAGCCGCACTGGTTTCACACGCTGCAGGTGCGACGGCTCAGAGTTCAGAGGGGCCGCAGTAACAGCGATCCTATGGGAGGACAGAGCTTCCAGCAAGAGTTCCAGTGGGTGAGGGGCACACAAATACAACTCAGATATACAACAATACACAACAAGGGATTTAAAGGCACAATATGTAATTTTCGCCGCTAGAGGGCGCGTATTCAAAATAAACAAATAGACAAAGGCGTAGTTTGATGACGCTGTGACTGAGTGTGGAATCATGGGAGTTGTCGTCTTTGGCAGGCGACACAATGACACTATGGACACGGTCCGTGTCACTAGTTAAAATTGCTTATTTCTCTGGATTTAAACATTCTTCGAAACATTTGGGATAATGTAAGTACACAAGTCAGCAAAATATATAACACTGTTCTAGTGGTTTTTGGATATTTCAATAAAAAAAATCTTACACATTGTGCCTTTAAGCATGTTCACGGATTCACAGAAATAAACAAAGAGTGCACAATGTTGAGGAATACAGTAACACATTACGATTTTACATAACTTATTATAAACTGTAATTGTCACATTGTTGTTATGTTAAAAGTAATGTTAACCCTATAAGCCTTCTCTCATCCTATTGATAGTTTAGACTTTTTAGCAAATAAAAGGCCTTTTAGTATAATTATAAAATTGTCCACCTTCATGATACACTTGTGTTTTTGCTGAGTTTTATAAAGTAAATATAAGAATACATGTTATACTGTTATTTATATTTCAAGATTGGACTGAAGCAACTTAGGGTTACTTGAGAATCCATATCACTGTATTGCTTTGCATTATATGTTTTGCGCCCCACAATAAAAACTACAGAGCTTTGATCATAAAACTGAGCATTTAAATTTCATCTTAACCAGTATTATTGGGAGATGTAGACTGACAATTGATATTTAGATGTATTTCATGTAAGTAGTCTGTTATACTATTATAAAGATCTTGTTGATTTACATTACAAGCTATCAGAATTTCATCTTTCTTTTTGGCCATATAAATAACAGAATCTGCACTATATATGGCATATTTTTGCTCAGTTTGGGCCTCGGAATAAAACTCTTTTCTTCCTCAAGTATGAGCACCATATTCTAAAGATATCACACTATAATATGAGCCATAAAAACCTGATCTATCAAATATGATATAAAACATAAAACACATATGCAAAAAAAATTTTTCATTTTCTTTTATATTTTATCTAAAGGTACAATAAACTGTTCCTTAAAAAAAAAAAGATTTTTCTGACTATTATTTTATATATCAGACTTTACAGGGTTAAAGGGATAGTTCCTCCAAAAATGAAAATTTGATGTTTATCTGCTTACCCCCAAGACATCCAAGATGTAGGTGACTTTGTTTCTTCAGTAGAACACAAACGAAGATTTTTAACTCAAACCGTTGCAGTCTGTCAGTCATATAATGTAAGTGAATGGGAATCACGGCTTTGAGAGTCAAAAAAACACACAAACAAAACCAAATTAAACCCTGCGGCTCATGACGATACATTGATGTGTAAAGACACGAAACGATCGGTCTGTGCAAGAAACTGAACAGTATTTATATTGTTTTTTACCTCTGATGCACTGCAATGTCTGAAGTGTCCTGAGCGTGTCCTCGACTGCGTGACGCGTCTTCTTCTTCTTCTTGCTTTACGGCGGATCGCAGACTTATAAGTGCATTCCCGCCACCTATCTCTCAAATGGACCATTGACACTCTATCTACAATCTCAATTGGGAGTGTCAATGGGCCATTTGAGAGATAGGTGGCGGTAATGCACTTATAAGTCTGCGATCTGCC